GGAATTGAACTCAGGACCTCTGGAAGAGCAGTCGGCGCTCTTAACCTCTGAGCCATCTCTCCAGCCTGAATCTTTTTTATTTATTTTTATTTTATGGGTCTGAGTGTTTCTGTCTGAATGTATGCCTGTGAATAAAGTGCATGCCTGGTGCTTTCCCGTTTAGGTCCAGCTAAATGCCCTTGGAGTAGACACTTTGCCAAAGTACACCCTCAAGAGCTTAGCATCCTTTCCACACCCCTATTCTCTTCCTTCTGTTTCAATCAGTAAAAATGACTGGCTTCTTTGAGCAGGCAATCTTCATCAAGGAGACACTGGAATAGCAGGCTCGGTGTCCCTCACATCTGTCCATTCACAGATGCTGCTCTGAGAAAAGGGGTGGAGCTTCTAACAGAGAGAGGCTGCACTGTCAGAGGAGGCAGCGCTGTCAGCTGTCACACTGAAAACAGAGAGAGGCTGCACTGTCAGAGGAGGCAGCGCTGTCAGCTGTCACAGGCATCTAGCTGAGCAGTACACACTGTCTCCAAACACTGAAAGAACAACACATTTTTATTCTTAAGCACAGCTTCTCCCCAAGCCAGATTTCAAAAGTCAGCCATCAGTCTACCTTCACCTGCTATGGCTTTGGAAAGCTTGGAGATTTTCCTGAAGCTCAAGTTGACACAAAGAGACATTTCAGGCTTGAGGGTAGATGGCATTCGGTTAAAATTATTGACTTTAAAACTCGGGAAGCGTATATTCAGTCTTGATATAAATGTCTGTATGATTTGGGGGAAGGCTTGGATTAATAGCTTAAAGTTTTTTCCCCAACAACACTCTAAATCTCCTTAGATGGCAGGCTTAATCTTTGGAAACACATCATTGAATAATTACATTATTAGTACTACCATGATAACAGGAAGGTTGGGGACTGAGAGTATGCTTCAGCTGGCAGACTGCTGGCTTTGTGTGCATGGAGCTCCTGGCTTCCAGCCCCATACCACATTCCTCCCTCAGGAGGTGGAGACAGGAGGATCAGAAGTCCAAGGTCATCCTTGTCTACAGAGTGAGATGGAGGCCAGCCTATATGAGACCCTTGTCTAGAAATTTATTGAAACAAATACATAGTAAGATGGCTAAGGAGCCGTGTCATCAGCAACAACTGTTGAGTTTTATTCTGGGTGAGCACATGTCTGGGGGGGATGTAGGCATGTGTGTGAGAACATATGCATATGTGTGTCCATGTGTAGATGGCATTAAGGTCAATTTTGGGTGTCTTTCTTCATTGCTGTCCAACTTATTTTGGGGGGGCACAGGGTCTCTCACTGAACCTGAAGCTTACTAATTCAGCTAGACTGGCTATGCATCCATCCCCTAAGACCTCCTGTCTCTTCTGCCCCAGTGCTAGAGAAACAAATACGTACTGCTGTGCCCACCTTTTATCTGTGGACTTGGGATCAAAACTGAGGTCCTCATCTCCCATAAAGTTGTCACCTTACTGACTGAGGCCCAACCCCCTTCCAGGGATATTTGACCCAAGTTAGCTTTCTCAGGAGGAGGTGAAGAGTAGTTTTTGCTTGTGCCCAGTTAAGAACTGGGCAAATTCATTGCAATGAGACCAGTATACCCAAAAATGACACTGTCAGGGGCCCAAATCCCACATCCAGGATTTTGATACAAATCAGAACTTCTGCCTAGAAGGCTTTCTTATTTTACATATTCTGGGGGGTAGCTTTTAAGATATAAACTCTTCTCCTGATTATGGAAGTTACAGATCTCAGAGGCAACACAGAGAAAGTACACCTGCAACAACCCCACCTGGAGGAGGAAGGAACCCACGGTTCTTCTAAGCATGTTTACAGGAACACAGCTCCTCAGCTTTGGGACTCGCGCTACAAAAGCTCTGCGCTGCCAAAATCAGTGTGTCTCACACTGACACACAGTGTTAACAATGTTTTTTTTTTATTAACATGTACGCCTCCCCACTGTTAAGGATGACGCAGCTCTATGTGCAGCCGCATGGGACGAGTGCAAGACACATTAACAGAAAACAGGAAAGACTAGTAATTTACATATTGATTTTACTACAGGATGAATGCATGTATGCTGGTATATGTACAGTTCAATTGTAAAAGGGAGTCTCAAAGAATGGGTAAGGGATGTTTGAAAACAAGGTAGTGGGGTAGCAACATGGGAAGGGACTGGTTCTCCACTGTGAATGTTCACATTTTATTATTCAAATGTCACCATCCCAGTTATGGGAAGAATAATGCTACATATCGTCATGTAATGCTACATATACACATGACTACAAAACGTCAAGTGTATTTATGTTGTCCCTAGAGAAGGGGGGGAGAGGAGTGGGTCTCAGTAAAGGAGAAATTACATATACCTAGGATGCGTTCCTTCTCTAAAAAAATCATAACAAATACTGACATTAATTAATGATGAATTACATGTGTATGAATGGCTTACTAGTCAGTGTATCATTTTGAAATTAACACAGAACTTGAAACAAAAAATATTCCATGGATTCTACCCGTCATGATTGCTAACATTAAAGTGAGGACATCATCGGACCCCGGGGCAGATGCAGAGCACCTGGCATGACAATGCAAAGTGAGCAAAATGATGTTCCCACTTCAGAAAATGTTCTGTGAGTTTCTTGTAAAACCACAGAGTGTATATATTAAGAGGCTTCAATGTGTTTGTGGATATTAGCTGAAGAAAATGAGCATATGTTCATGGAAAAACTTGTACAACATGTTCACAGCAGTTATATTAATGAGGCAGAGAAAGCCCGCACATCTATGAAATACTATGTAAACAAACTGGCATACCTGTCCAATGAAATATACTCAAAAATAAAAAGGAAGGCTAGTGATCCACAAACCTCACTGTAGACAGAGAAGAAGAGGGAGAGGGAGAGGGAGAGGGAGAGGGAGAGGGAGAGGGAGAGGAGAGAGAGAGAGAGAGAGAGAGTGAGAAACAGCTTGTTCATGGGAGCCTTTTCTATCCTCTGTAAGTTTGCCCATATAAGGCACTAGAAGAATAATACTTATCTATCATAGGAAATCGGAAAAGTGGGTACCACAGAAAGGAGGCAGTGTGAAGGGCAGGGATGGCTGAGGATTATGGGGACACTTCTCTAGAATAACTATGATAGTTTAGATCTTGATAGGCATCAAGGTTACACAGGTATATAGATTGGTTCACATGTAATCAATTGACAATAAGACATGCATTTCTTAAACATGAGACCTTGGATTTGATTGACAGACCACAAAAGAATGTACATTCTACTTATCAATGAATTGTGTCTCAGTAAGTAGATATTGGGCATTTGTTAATAATGTGTGCATGAGTTAACTATATTGACATTCACAACTAATCTTAAGATGCTCCTAGAAAGTAAAAGTGATATATAAGTGAGAAAATAACAAACTTTATTAGTATTTAGATGATAACATGAAATTAATTTAAATTTTCTGTATGTTCAATGCTTAAAATTTTTGACATTATATAATTATATTTCTCCCTTCCTTTTCTTCCCTTAAATAAAACATTGGCTATAGCTTCAGCACACTTTAATTAAGCTACACATGTTATACACCACGGGATCTCTTTATCAATATATGTTGGGCTATCTTACCCTTCTGAAGTATTTTGATTTTTTTAAAAGAGTTTTGATGGGGCTGGGACAGGATTGCTCAGTGGTTAAGAGCATTAACTGCTCTTGCAGAAGACCAGGGTTCTATTTCCAGCACTTATAGTGGCATACAACCATCTGTAACTTTTATCCTAGGAGATCCAACAGCCTCTTCTGACCTCCACGTGTACTTACACACAAGACAAACACTCATAAACACAATTATTTTTTAAGTTTTAAAGCCTTGTATAACATTTTTGAGACTGAGATAGAAGAGACCACAATTGCTGCACATGCTTCCTGAGCTGACACTGAAGGCAGGACTTTGGTTTCCATGGTTCTAAGACCAGTTCCAGCCCCCCCCCCCCCCGACCCACTCTCCTCAGTTCAGTCCATTCTCAGGAGAAGAGATCCTGTGGCATAGGCCACTGTACATGGCATGGGCGCCATCCTTCTTCCTTCCCATGGCCTCCTCCCTCCTCCACATCCTTGGAAAGGGAGCAAATCTGTTCTCTCCGACAGAGGCTCTTCCTCTTCCCTAAGTAGATGCTGCTATTTATATAGTATAGCAGATCAGCCTCCCTCTAAGGATCCCTAGACCCAAGCCTGAGGCTCCTTGGAGAGGGGAGTGGGGACTCTTAACTTTTAGCTCAGTCAAGGGAATCCAGTAGCTCAACATATGGGCTGCACTCCTGTGATAGGTTGGTCACATAACAGACTCCCTCTGCTATAGGCTCTCTCCTTGTACATTTGAGTAGTTGTCACAAAGGACCATTATAAAAAAAATGGCTGCAGTGAGGAATAGAATTGCATTAGTCTGGATATCTTGATCAAATACTTCAGCAACCTAATACTTGATCAGTATTGATAGCAACACTTTTCCTTCCTTCCTTCCTTCTTTCTTTTTTTTAAACTGACTACTAAACCATATATCAGGTATACCCCTATAACAAATACACATAGATTTATCTACCTTGTGTTTCTAATACTTAGTTTATGAAGATTTTGGTACAGTAATTATTAAAGCAGATGTATTAAGGTCAAGGACTTCTCCCAACAAACACCTCAGTGGCAGGGCCCTGAAATGGGCATGAGGCCTCCCTGCTAGACCCGAGGTTTGTCACCACCCAACATTCTCCTGGGCAACACTTTTTGTGTGCACCACCACTTGTGGATCACAACATGACTGAGACCATCCTGATTAATACCTAGGGCACCGAATAATACTGCTTATGAGATTCTGATTTACGAATGCATTGAATGACGAGCTGTCTTTAAATTGTATATTGTGTAAGTTTATTCTAGTTTCCTGGAGTATGGAATAATGTAATGTAAATTACTGATGAGACAGATCACTTTTTAAAATCATTCTTACCTCATTTGATGGAATGTCAGCAAAGGGTTTGATGACAGCAGCTAGTGGGATCTGAGCTTGCTTAGCCATGTCAGATGTGCACGGGAAGCAGTAGGTGGTGCAGCGAATGTACCGGGGGCTCGAGTGGCCTGAGTCAGTCAAAATCACACACAGACAAAACTTGTTAGGATAAATACCTGGCCCAAGATACTTAAACGAGAGTACGCCTACCCGATTCACTTATCTATAAGATCTTCTTTGTTTCTAAAGGAGTATTGTAAAATTCTGCCATCTACATTCCAAGGACATACATAAGACATGGTGAATTTTACTAGAGGGATATGAAAGAAGTGTTTTATTACTATTATTGTTTTCCATAAGCTGGGCTTTAATGCAAGCCAGTTTTAGACTGGAGAGGGTTTAGAGATAATGGAAGATATGAAACAAAGAGACACACAGACGTGAAAGAATACAGCTTTAGGGTCACAGTCATTCTTTTTACTAAGATTTATTTTTGGTTTTATTTATGGGTGTGGCTGTCTGATGGGGAGGGGTAGGAAGCTGGGTAAGCACTTTGTGCAGGTGCCCATGGAGGCCAGAAGTGGGCACTAGATCTCTAGGAGCTGGAGTTACAGGCTCCTATGAGCTGCCTAACATGGGTGCTAGGAACTGAACTTGGGTCCTCTGGAAGAGCAGCAACTTTTCTTTACTACTGAGTCATCTCTCCAGCCCGACAATCACTTTTTTTGTTCTCACTTCTACCAACACATCTGCCATGGGCAAATATGTGTCTATACATCATGTCATACTATCAAATGAGACTGTCACATACAACTGCAATTTACTATATTTTCCTAAGTTTGTAAACTGAATTTTATGAATTGAAATTCTACGTGAAATAGAAATGTTACTTTTAAAGTCAGCCTAATCACTTTTTAATATACATTAGATTTCTTGACCAAATACTTTCATTGTATGGCTCACAGGAGAACTAATATAACACCTATGGTATGAACAACAGTTTAATCATTAGAACAATTTAATTTTTTCTTCAAAACATGTCATCATTTACAAATTGTGTCAGGCAAACTGAATATGTATATGTAGAAGGATCCTTCTTTTTTACCTGAATACCAATCAATTTCCAGTGGATCAAAGGTCTCAACATTAGACCCCAAACTCTGGAACCTCCAGAACAAGGAATGAGTACACTTTGGGATTTAGGTTCAGGTAAGGAAGAGTAGGGAGTGCACTTCGGGATTTAGGCTCAGGTAAAGACTTTCTGAATAGAACACCAGTCACCCAGGAAATAGGACCAATGATCACCAAGAGCAACTTCACGAAATTAAAAAGTTCTGTAGAGCACAGGAAACTATTAGTCAACTAAAAAGGAAGGTACAGAATGGAAAAGATCTTCACCAGTTACACATCTGCTGGAGGATTAGTGCCTATACTATACAAAAACTCAAAAAACTAAGCACCAAGAAAACAAACCACCAAATTCAAAAGTCAGCTAAGGAGCTGAATAGAGATTTCTCAGAAGAAGAAATACAAATGGCTGAGAAATATTTTTATAAGTATTTACCATCCTTAGCCATCAGGAAAAATGCAAATTAAAACTAATTTGAGGCTTCATCTTAATTCAGTCATAATGGCTAAGATCAAGAAAACATGAAACCACAAATTCTGCTGAGGATGTGGGCAACGGGGAACCCTAGGGCACTGTTGGTAGGAGTCCAAGCTGGCACCACTACTAGAAAAATCAGTGTGGCTGTTCCTTGGCCCAGCTAGCCCATTCCTGGATGCACACCCAAGACTATATCCTGCTACAGAGATGCATGATCGATATTCATAGCTGCTCAATTTACAACAACCAGAGCACAGAAACAGCTTTCATGTCTATCAACTGATGATGGTAATGAAAACATGATACGTATACACAATACAACTTCATTCAGCCATAAAAATTAAATTACGAAAATTGCAGATCAATGGATGTAACTGGAAAACATGCTGAGTGCAGTAACCCAGGTCTAAGAAAACAAACATCACATGTTCTCAATCATATATGCATCCTAGTGTTGAATCTTTAGATTATTTGCTTAACTTGGGTTAGAATCGAGGGAACTAGAAAGTTACCACCGGTGGGGAGAGAGTGCCTTGGTTATTTTTTTGTTCAATTTGACTCAAATTAGAGTTACCTGGGAAGAAGAACCTCACCTGAGAAAATGCTTCCATCTGATTGCCTATAGGCAAGGCCAGGCACACTAGTTAGCCATAGAAGCTGGTCAGTTGTGGCACATACCTTTAATGCCAGGATTCAGGAGACAGAAGTAGATAGATCTCTCTGTGAGTCCAAGGCCACCCAGATCTACACAAGATTGAATCAGTCTAAAAGAATTAGAGCTCATGCCTTTAATCCTAGCCCTAGAGAGGTATATAAAAGACAGGAGCCCAGTGTCTCAGGCTGCATTCTGAGATTTGTCTCCAGTCATGTTGAGGAGAGGCAGTAGTCTGGGGCGTGGAGGAGGATCAACCATTTCAGCCTCAGGTAGAGGTAAAGGCCAATGGCTTGGCTGCTTTGCTTCTCTGATCTTCAGCTTGAAGCTTGAACCACAATATCTGTCTCTGGGTCTTTTATTTTTTGTGTTACATGTTTATATTCATAAATTAGTGCAGCTCTAAGATCTCATCAGAGAAGTTCCTTTGTGCAACAAAGGCAGTCAATGCAGAGATTCACAACTGTGCACAGTGCAGAGAATAAGTGACTGGATTCCTCAGCCACAAATAGAGCGACTATATTACACCTGTGCCTCCCACCCAAGGCTTGGGCATATTACAGAAGAGGGGACAGAAGTATTGTAAGAGTCAAATTTTGTTGGGAGGATTTAAGTGAGGCAGTATTTTCTGGACTTGACATGACTACTGCACTCATGGGCTCACAGCATATGACCTGCCCAAGTCAACCCATTCAACATGCTACCACGGAGAGCAAAGAGATTCCAAGTTCCTACCCTTAACAGCTTGTGGGGGAGGGAGAGTCAGTTTTCTTTAAGGGTTAGGCCCCTGGTAGGTGTATCACATTCTAGTGGATGGCCCTATACCCATGATGGCAGCAAAACTGGACTAGGTCATTTACGGTTTTTTGTTTTTTTTAAGGACAGGAAGTGGGAGGGTTTGCAAGAGGTGGGGATGGGTCTGAGAAAAGAGGGGGGAGAATATAATCAAAATACATTGCATGCATGTATGAAGTTCTCAAGGATTAATAAAAATAAAATATTTATTGATTGTCCACCACATTTTAGGCACTGTCCTAGGTTTAATTTTTTTCCACTGGTCTCACATGCTAGGCAAGCATTCTACTGATGAGTCATATATGTTCATATCCTTTTTAGTTTTATTTTGATGTAGTCTTACTAAATTGCCCAGGTTGACCTTGAATTTACTGTAGGCTAGACAAGCCTTGAACTTGAAATCCTCTTCCCCCATCCTCCTGGGGAACTAGTATTACTTAACTATCATCTAAGATACTGATCTAAAAGATTTAGAATTATAATCTATTAGGATGAGAGAATATAATCAAATGATGTTTATTGACTGTCCACTTCATTTTAGGCACTAAGTTTTTCTGTGGACTACAGAATAGAGCTACGCTTTTGAATGGTTCATGGATAACAGAAACAAAAAGAATGAGTCTCCTATCTAGAATATTAGAATGTGACAAATGCTATGAAAAAGAAGTCTCTTCTTTTTTTCAGAGATTAAGAGGCCAATTGAAATTTTACATACTCACAGGGCCAGGCTCAATATAAAAGGTAATATTTGAGTGAAGTCTCAACAGAGACAGGAATTCACTTAGGTAGATACACACAGGAGGCCTGGCAGAGGAAGAGCAGAGCTGTTTAGACTGGAGTATTCTTTGGGCCCAGCAGCTGAGGCTGAGCTTAGAGGATGTACAGGGTAAGATCCTGTAGACTCTCAAAGCCCAGTAAGCCCTCAAGGTTTTACAAGTGAAATGGACTTCACTGCTGGGTTTAGCGATGCGAGTGTCATAACCTGACTTGGTCTCATTGGCTGTGATGTGCAGAATAGCTGCAATAGGAGGAGCAGAGCCAAGGAGGCTCAGGAGGAGGCTGCTGCAGGAGCCATGTGACAATCAGTAGTGGCTCAGACCAGCCCCATATCGTCAGAGCATGATAGGAAGATTCTGGGCATATGTCTATACAATGGTATAAATGTTTGCAGAAATGATGCATGTGGTATAAAGATGTTGAGTCTGAGGAACAAGAAGAATTTAAAATTGCCATCCCTGAAAACTGAAAAGCTGCAAAGAATAGGGAAGGAACCAGTTTTTAAGGGGTGTGTGGATAGAGATCACAATTGAGTTAGAACATATCCAGCTTGGAAAATGTATTAGGCAGTCAGTCACAGAGCAAGCCTGAGTGCATGGTTAGATGAGAGTTGGAGTCCAGAGTGGCTGTGTACCTATAGGAGCTCTGAACTGAGATGGCACACAGAAGTAGGCTAAATCACTACAGCAACAGTCATGGCCAAAGGAAAGATGAACAAGGACTAACTAAGTCCAGGGCCCTCATAATATACACATACAAATGCATACATAGGCATATACATGCATGCATACAAAGAAAAGAGAATAAAAAATATTTAAAAAAGGAGACTCCAGGGTTTTAGCTCTGAAATGAGGAATGCCCATCAAGAAAAGGGCATATGGCCACCTGTACTTGATGCTGCTGCTAGACCAATCTGACCACTTGGTTCAGCAACCCAGATGGAGAACCTAAAGAGGTCTTCAAAGAGCTCCAATACCTCCATAAAGTATTAAATAAACTAATGAATGCAAAAGAAAATTCTCATGCAGACCTAAGAGTCTGGAGTGAAACTGTCCATTTGCATATCCACAAGCACAGAAAAGACTAACACACAGCACGTGCTAACACTTTAGAAACATGAAGTCACTATGTACTTTTGATGACTGTGTAAGTAATAATGAACAAAGAAAATCAGTCTGGAACAGTAAATAAAATGACTCAGGTTAAAATTAATGTCTAATGATAACATGAAGAGATGACTGGGTCCTGATGGCTTGACAACTCTGAGCTGAAGGGGTGATGTTATACTTCCAGGACAGAGTAGATGACAGCCATTAAAATGGTATATTTTGATTTCACCAAGCCGCTCTTGTTTTGAGTTTAGTCCTGAGGATCAAACCCGGGGCCTCCTGCACAGCTGTACCACTGAACTGCAGTATTAAGCCCTTCATCACATTTTGACTTGCCAGGAACAACTGAAAAAGTCTGCATGGGGCTTGACAGGCAGATTAAAATGAGAGTAGGCATGGGCTGTGTCCGGAGAGATGTAGCTCATTTCTGGTGTAAAGGCAGAGAACTAAGAACCAGAATGTTAAGAGACCTGCTGAAAACAGTATCCTAAGGTTATAGCAGGGGAGCTGACTGATGGAGCTCAGCCTCATGGTTCTGGTTCTGCTCACAATGCCCAGCAGGTTGCACAAGTCCAACCCATGTAGGGGATGGGTTACCTTAAACTATAAATCAAAATTTGATATTTTCTTAAACAGATACATTGCATTATACACCACTCAAAGTTCTCTGGACTACTACATAAGAGATTATAACTGTTGGCAGCACTTTTTGGGTTCTTGAGCAAATTGGTCTATTCTCTGCTATAATGAGGTAGCCCATCAATAATAGTATTGATGAATGGAGTCAGGGTATTTGTTTTTAAACCAGTGAGAAATCTTAAAATCATCATCATAATAAAAAGTCACTGAAAATAAATACCTTGGTCTTGAATCATACAGTCTGTGGTGACCAGTGGAGGCACCTGGCCTCTGGTGTTGGTAGTGTAGACTTGTCCGCCTCTGGTGGCCCTGTCATTCTCGATCACTTGAATCTGACAAACAAGATGTTAAGAGTGAATTACACTAAGTCACAACTCTTCCTGACGCCAGTTAACCATGGCTTGTTCTTGTTCCCTCTTCCTCCTCTCTCCTTCCTCTCCAGAAAAAGAGGAAAGAGTGAGCCAGAGAGTTGGAGATAAAGAGAGAAGGGGGCCGGGCGTTGGTGGCGCACACCTTTAATCCCAGCACTCAGGAGGCAGAGGCAGGCAGATCTCTGTGAGTTCAAGGCCAGCCTGGTCTCAAGAGCGAGTGCCAGGATAGGCTCCAAAGCTACACAGAGAAACCCTGTCTGGAAAAACCAAGAGAGAGAGGGGGGAGGAGAAACAGGGAGAAAGAGAGGGACATCTTTTAAAAATCCTTTCATTTCTTCTCAGAGAAATCAATCCACCATGCCTTTCATGTCATCTTCATTTACTTTCACAATTTTATAGCAATGTTTAGCAAATTTCCAGACCCTCTTCTGTAATACTCTTATTACAGAAGAAACCCTTTCAGAAACCCTTATTTTTATTTATTATATTTATCTTATTTATTATAACCATAGATGAGAATTTGAAAAATACTTTAGAAAATAAGAAACCTGAAACATGTTGTAGCAAAAATACATTTGTAATCAAAAGAAACCTCTCTCAATCCTTAGATGCAGAAGAAGAAATGACGCAGAATGTCTGAGCTAAGGCCTGCCTTCTACTCAGAATCCACCGCTCCTTCAGCTGACTTCTAAGTTTTCCCTACAGAGAATATTAGTTATCTTGGGTTAGAGGTGTCTATGTTTAGATATAATCAGGAACAGAGGTCCCCAAATGTTGTCATCTAACTTAGAAACATATTTTCTACTAATAATATTTGTTGCTGAAGACTATAAGCATTTTTAATTTTTTTCTTTTTGTTATAACTACTTAGGGTTAAAAATTGTGAGCACAAACCAGGTGTTGGTGGCACACACCTTTAATCCCAGCACTGGCAGGGCAGAAGCAGGTGAATCTCTGTGAGTTCAAGCTCAGCCTGGTCTACAGAGCGAGTTCCAGGACAGGCTCCAAAGCTACACAGAGAAACCCTGTCTTGAAAAATGAAAAACAAAAAACCCACCAAAGTCAAGCATAAGAAGACATGGATAGGAAGTATCTAGGTTTGAAAACAATTAAAAGATACACAGTTTCCCATTGTTAGTCATAATGCTGACTTTGAACCAACTCGGAAGTGTTCTCTTCTGCTCCAGATGCACCCAGTGCAGATGGTGCTGGCATCACGAGTTCCTAGGATATTGGCAACCGCCCTAGCCTGAATTTAAACCTTATCTGTCTGCCTTCTGGCTTCCTCAGAGACTGAGCACTTACAAAGATATAGGACATGTTCCCAACATCACTACCACAGCAAGACACAGACAAGACGCTACCATGGAAAAGAAGTACATAGAAGCATAGGAGCACTGTAATTACACTCTGCATTGAACCATAAAGCTCACGGGTTACTCAGAAGAAGAGCCACTTTTCCATTATTAAATGGCAACATTTAGCAACATCATTCCAACCAACAAGGTCTAAGGTGAACACTACCGTGATGCAGGCATGTGCCAAATACACTGAGAGCACACAGTCACCAATCAGGAGACCGTATTTCCAGAAAATCTCATTTCAAATTATCCATTTACAATTTTCAAAGCCCTATCCCGGAAGAAACAATGTTATAATTAGTCGCTATTAATTAAATCCGCATCTTGTCAGAACAAGACACAGAAAAGAGGAAGAAGACATATCAAGCAGTTCTAGCCATTGTTAAAAATAGCTTTTAATTTACCCCAAATGCACACTCTTGAGAAACAGCATCAGAAATGAAACAATAAGCCAAAACTCCAACAGTGACTGGCTCTGACCTGCACACGTGAGCCGAGATCTAGCACAGCAACATGTGTCAATGTCAGAGCTCTCCCAGAAGACACGGATCGCCTATCCCTTCACCTGTGCCACTGGGATCATTTCCACAAATGTCGTGGAATCGTAAAACACCATCAGGAAAGACTAAAGGAAGCACTGCTCTTAGAAAAGCACAAGGAAGAGAATCAAGTGAAGACGCATGGCCATGGGAGCAGTGATGCACGAGGCAAAACTGTTTGAATTGCAGGTGGTGGGAGGAGAAGAGGAAGGAAACAACCTCCGAACGATCCTCCTCCAGATGCAGAAGAGGGTGAGGAAGAGCTTTGGTAATGAAGCTTCCATCCCTTCATAATGTGGCTAAAACAGTCAAAGGGCTGTATGAAGCACCTCACCCAGGACTGGGGTATGGAAACTTTCCTTCTAAAAGAAACAGTTTATTTCATTAGAAAAATATGCCATTTTAGTCAGAAGAAAACAAACAGGCTCCATCTGGCATCACTATGTCATCACTTCAAGATAAGCAACATGGGGCTGGTTGGCACACACATACTTCCAAGGTTCAGGATGAATTGTGGTGTCTGCTGCTTCTCCCATTAATGTTCATTCACCCCTTCACTCAGGATGCTGAGGAGCAGAGTCTGTTTAGGTGTTAGAGATAGCAATGAACAAACTAGGTCCTTGCTCTTTAGAGCAGATGCTCGAGTCTGGAAGAACAGTGGCAAATAAGTAACCGTACATGTGCCCTCTGCCAGGCAGTTGGATGCTGTGGCCATGTAGAGACATGGATGGGTAGTAAAGACATGATAAATAGAACATATAAGTTGGGCCTTGCATATGCCTGGGAAAGGAGCATAATACAGGCAGTAGAAATGTCAACAGTCAAGTTGAGGCACACAAGGCATGTTTGAAGAACTAGCATAACTAAAGCAGAGGTGCAGGGCAAGAAGAGAGCAGGCAAGAGTCATCTAATGTTTGTGTACACATGTGTAGAAGGCAGCTGGGATAACAAGTGATCAACAGTTTGGATGGAGGCCCTAGAACAAGGATTCCTGAGACTCAAGATCTCAGCTGATATCAGCTGTGTGTTCTTGGGGTGTCCTTTGAATAATGTTGACCTAGAGACCAAATGTCCACGAAGAAAAGGTCATTCCAAAGAATAAGCCTTGGGGAACTCTAACACTGGGGTTAGGGTGTCAGGCACACCTACAAACATACATACACCTACAAACCTATAAGCCTACCACACATATACACCTACATATATACCACACACATATATACATAGAGCCTCGTATACACAAACACAGGTACAAACATATGCACATCCACATTTAAATACATACACACCACACATATACACAAGTACATATACACACATACAAACACCATATATACACATGTACACATACACACACATATATACATATATATATATATGTATATATATACACACACCTTATACATACACACATACAACACCATATATACATATGTACACACACATATATACACATACCATACACATACACACATACACATACATACTACCACCTACACACACAAACCCCCAAACACAAGCTCACAGTATATACAAACATACATAGACACATTCATGCATACACAAATACATGTATACACACAGATACACACATACACACAAACACACACAAACATACATGTTCAACATGACCACACATCTACAAACACAAACACATGCACCCACAGATAAAGATATACATACATATATACATAAACACCTGCAAACAACACACACATGCACACAGAGACACGCACATTCAGAAACACACAGGCATACAACACACAAATACCAAGGCACAAATGCAAAGGTGCATACAAATTCACCTGCAAATGGAAACACAAGGTTCAGGGGTGAAGGCACGGGAGTCAAAGAACAGTGCAAGGTGTGAAAGCACTGGTGGAGAGAATGGCCATTGCAGTTTTGAAGGGAATAAACTCCAAAGGCAGGAAGCGGTGGAGGAAAGACACCACTTTCAACTGTAAATCCAAAAGGCATTAGTGTTTGCTGATGATAGGGACTGGGCTAAGACCCAGACAACTAAGCCAAGGTAGGAAACTGAAAGGCCAGGAAACTAGAAAGTCCATCCGCAAGGATATTAAAGGTGCCTGTGACTGTAACAGGAATAGGGCTGGTGAGAATGAAAGCCCAGGGAGGGTTATATGAAGTCACATAGAGGTTCAAAAATAAGCTCTATGTAAACATAATTTTAACCCTAATAATCAAGTAATTTTATTTTAGTTAAAGACATTTTGCCATAAACATCTTAAAGGAAGAACCATTTATTATGGCTGTTTCAGAGGACTTAGCCCATGGCTGCTGGGCCCCACGGTTTTGTGCAGAATCTTACGTGGAGGAGGGCACAGCATGTATATGGCATTCATATTTTTTGTGATTGGACACCTCATAGTAGACAACAATCAGAGAACATGACAGAAAGGGGCCATGTATTAGTTCCTTTTGGGTTGCTGTAATATCACAGCCAAGGCAACTGATGGAACTATGAGTTTATTTTGGCCTATGATTCCAAAGGGTTAGATTCCAAAACAATAGAAAAATCAGGCAGAATGTGACCTGCAAAGACTGACTTCCTCTACGTAGGCCCTATCTCCTAGAGTTTCAGAACCCACCTCGACAGTGCCTGACTGGAAACGAAGCCATCTGTGAGGATCTTTCATATTCGAGCTATAAGGAAAGTTATGTCATAAACACAACAACAAAAATACTGAGAGCTGCTAAAGTTGAATACTAAATGTATTGTGAAATTTGTTATAAACACTAAATACTTTATCACAGAATCCTCAAGTTTACAGAATTATAAAAATAGCCAAATTCTTCACCCCTCTCTGTATTTGTCCCCTTTCTGTCATTACTTACACTTTCGCTGATCAGAAGGCAGAGTCTTCCCTCTGAGCCCTCAGCATGCTCTGAACCTGAATGGGCTTCTGTGGCCCAGACCTTCCACAGGCCCTGGAGGGCTCAGTGCTAACACGTGGAAGAGCTTCTGTGTGGGAGAGGGAGGAGCACTTACAGGGCTGGGGATGGAGTCAGGATCCAGCTTTCTCTGGAGCTGTGGTGGTGGGCCAGCCATCTGTGCAGGGCCCCCAGGGAAGCCTCCTGGGTAAGACAACTGTGCACCTCCCATCTGTGGTCCATAGCTGGTTGCTTGAAAAAGAAAGAAAGAAAAAAGAAATGACAATCTCTAAACCGAGGTGTAATTCTCAATGACAATATTACACTGTTGAATCAAGAATGCCACCAAGTTCATCTTGCTGAATACAGCAGGAAGTTAAAAGTGAGTTCCTATACTTCCTCTTTAACTTGCTCTTCTGATACTACCCAGAGGCTACTGCCTGTCCCTTCACAGCTGACACAGAAACAAACCTGATTTCTGGCTCAAGACAACCCCAGGTAACCCATACCTTGGCCTCACCCCGCCCACCTTACCTTGCTGTGGAGGGTAGCCAGCACCCAGGGTCTGGCCTGCTGGGGGTGGGGGCTGGTACTGGGCATTCAGAGGAGTAGGCCCAGGGCCATTCAGGGCAGTGGGGGGCGGTGGTGGAACCTGAGATCCTGGCTGCAAAATAGATGGCTGTGGAGGCTGTGGAGGCCCCTGGAAGGAGCCTGCTGACTGAGGGCCAGGGGGAGCCTGGCTCTGGGGAGTCACGCCCACACCTGTGGAAGAGAGAGGACCATGCCTCAGTGTCATATTTCTCATCTCTGATGCCTACAAAGCACATGACTGAGACACTTGTTTTCAATACACTTATAAATTATATATTTAATGTATATACTATGGCCACAAATTAAAATCTTCCCTCAGAAGGTAATAAAACTATTACTTGGGGGCATTTTGTACAAATAAAGAAAGTTAGAAGAGTATAAAAGCAACATCTCTAGTTTGGATAAGAAATTTGTTTTGTTTCGGTTTGGTTTTTTTCAAGACAGGGTTTCTCTGTGTAGCTTTGGAACCTGTCCCAGAGCTCACTCTGTAGACCAGGCTGACCTTGAACTCACAGAGATCCACCAGCCTTGCCTCCCAAGTGCTAGGGTTAAAGGTGTGTGCGACCACCACCTGGCAAGAAATTTCTTTTTTAAAAAAGGTTTAATGAGTGTGTGTGTGTGTGTGTGTGTGTGTTCATGTGTGAATACACACGGAAGCCAGAAAGAGCTAGAATTGTAGGCAGTTATGAGCAGTCATGTGGGTCCTGGGAACTAAAGTTGGGTCCACTGCAAGAACAGCAAGTGCTTTTAACCCTTGAGCCATCTCTCCAGCCCCCGGTAAGAGATTTCTTAACAGTACAAATTAAACTCCAGTTCATTATCTTCACATGATCCATGAACTAATTTAAAACATCTGTTTCTCTTAGAGAACATTGAAAACAACAGAAAAGAAAAAAATTGTATAGAGCAAGCATCATTCGGATAACTTACACCATCAATAAATTCTTTATATTCTGAGATTGACTTGACCAAATGAGTTCAGAAGCAGGCAGAAATAACAAGGAGAAGGTTTGGGTCACTGACAGCCTCACCATTCACACTGGAAATGCAAATTGTTTCCTGGTCTAGGCTTATGTGAAACTTAGCTGCTTCCTAAGTCATCCATTTGGAAACCAGTAAAAAGATTAGAAGTATTCTGGGAGAATGCTATCAATACGTCTACGTAGTAAGGGAATATGCTGGCTAGTTTAATGTCAACTTGACATAGCTAGAGTCCTCTTAGGAGAGAGAATCTCAATTGAGAAAACTCCCCCACCAGAGTGGCCTGTGGTGCTTTTTCTTGACTGATGATTGATGTGGAAGGGCCCAGCTCACTGTGGATGGTGCCACTCCTAGGAAGGTGTTCCTGGATTGTGTAAGAAACTAGGCTGAGCAAACCACAAGGAGCAAGCCAGTAAAGCAGCACTCCTCCGTTGTTTCTGCACCAGTCCCTGTGTCCAGGGTCTGCCTCTGGTTCCTGGTCTGACTTCCCTGGATGATTGACTACAAGCTGTAAAACCAAAACAAACAAACAAAACCCCCCAAAACAAATAAAAAACCTTCTTTCCTCCCCAAGTTGCTTTTGGCCACGGTGTTTTATTAAAGCAATAGAAACTCTAACTAAGGCATAAGCTGGTACCAGGTTGTGGGGTATGGCTGTGACAGACCTGACCATGTGTTTTTTAGAGAACTGTAGTAACATTTGAACTTTTGGTTAAAAAAAGCTCAGAGATCAGTGGACTGTTCTGTTGGAACTTAGAATGATGTGAGCAGTTCAGGTGATGGAGCACAGACTTGTGAAGTTTCAGAGGACAGCAAAGACTACCAGGGCCGTTTGTGTGATATTTTCATGTAAAGAATCTGTGGTGTAAGACAGGCGGTGGTGGCACAAGCCTTTAATCCTAGCATTCGGGAGGCAGAGACGGGGGATCTCTGTGAGTTCAAGGCCAGCCTGGTCTACAGAGTGAGTTCCAGGACAGGTTGTCTCAAAGGGAAAAAAAAAGAATCTATGGTGTTGGTTGAGCAGTGGTGGCACTTGGGAGGCAGAGGCAGACAGATCTCTGAGTTTGATGCCAGCCTGGTCTAGAGTGAGTTCCAAGACAGGGATACATGGAGGAACCCTGTCTCAAAACAAAAGAAACATGGTGCCAGCTGGAGCTGAACCAGCTGTAATTAACAAGAGACCAGAACAATTAGAGTAAAACATCTGCTTTGCTGGGACAATAGAAGCTGGTCAGCTGGGACCAGGGAATTGACTGTGATTAGGAAAAGAATGGCATCAGCACCCAATGATTGTGGTTCAGAAGTTTGTGCTGGCAGCCAAACTTGATAATAAGTGAGAGTTCCCCAAGTGGTAGTATTTTTGAAGGCATGAAGGAGTCATGGAGAGGCCTGGGACAATGAGAGGCCAGGAGAGGATACTGGTCAAGGTTCAACCTCTATTGCAGTTGAAGCCCCAGGACTGAAGGCAGCATGGAGAGAAGTTGAGGCTTGACACCATGGACAGGATCAGAGTGTCTCAAGAGAGGCCAGGAGAGGTGATTTGTGAAAATACTGCACAGCTGCAACAGGAGCCCTCTGCATTTTGGAGATGCTAGTACCATGGTCCCCTGCATCAGCTCCTGCCTCCAGGATTCTGCCTTGAGTTCCTGGCCCTCAGTGATGGACAGTTGCTTGGAAGTGTAGGCTGAAATAAACCCTTTCCTCCCCATGTTGCTTTTGATCATGGTATTCTATCGCAGCAGTAGGAAGACAAACAAGAGGAGCATCCCTTAGAGTGGCTCTCAACCTTCCTATCACGGTGGCCCTTAATACAGTTCCTCGTGTGGTGGTGACCCCCCCAACCATAACGTTATTTTTGCTACTTTAAAACTGTAGTGTTACTACTGTTATGAAACCTAATGCAAACATCTGACATGCAAATGGTCTTAGGTGACCACTGTGAAAGGGTGGTTCAACCCCTAAAGAGGTCTCGAGCTTAAAGTACAACATATAGCCATGCTGCTACTAGAGAAGGACATTCCCGATCTCTCCTCTTTTCTGGTTTGTGTCAAATCTGAGATTTGACTCTTCCAGTGACCTAAACACAGAATTAAAACTCACTGTGAAACAACATGCATTTTATTTTCAATTCGGAGAACCCATATTAAGCAATACAATTTTAAAACTACCCTCACAGCTCCTCAAATAATTACATTTTTTAATGCTTATTTGTGAAGTGAGCATTATCAGTTTTTATTGTTCTATCAGCGAAGGTCATGTCCTGAGGATTCTTCAATTACTTTGAAATAGTAGTTAACATGCTCAGAAAAAAAAAAAAAAAAAAAAAAAAAAACCTTAAGACACAAAAAGGATACAAAAATGAAGCAGGTAGCATTTTAATATGTCATGCCAGAGCTAAGTCTATCTTTAAAAAGAGGAAATGATGAGGTGGGAGCATAGCTCTCAGTGTTAGCTTAGCATGTTTGGGACTCTGGGTTCACCCCCTGTACCACAAAGAACACTGCGTGGGGGCCCTGAATGAACAGTGACAATGTACATTTACCGTAGCTGTTGATCTGCATGGAGTTGAACTGACTGCCCAGCTGGCTTACAGAGGAAGTGGACCCAGGGCCTGGGTAAGATGACGGTGGCAGAGGTTGGCCTGATGCATAAGGGGGTGCCACATTGTTGACAGGTGGAAGTCCTGGAAATCTAAGAGACAAAAGATATTGTTAGTATCACAGAGTTTCTTAAACAAATGACACACAGAACAGTTAATATGTTCTAAAACAAAAACCACCTTCTCTACGGGGTTGAAAAAATGACTGATACTGTAGATCAAATACTTAATCTTGATGTGATCTCAAAATAACCCATGTACCATAGCCCCCCACATCTCCACTCATGTGTTCCCTACGCTGAGGGAGAGAAAAGTTTCTAACATGAACACAAGGCCAGCTTTGGAAATCAGCTGGAAAGATGAGAGCCTTCTGTAGCCACTTCACATACACTAAACTTGATCCACAGAACAAAGCAAAACAAAAAGCAGTAATACTTGGTTTGAGCTTGTGTGTCTGTGATCATTCTGCTTATCATTATGACCCAGCTTTTAAACAAAATGTGGCCTGTCTTACATTTTAACATCAGCAAGGCACAGTCTACAAATGGTATATGACAGTCAACATTGTGGTAAGTTTGGAGTAGGTGATTTTTTTGTTTTGTTTTGTTTTGTTTTGTTTTCATTTAAAAATCCCATCATGGTTTACCTTTGATGTAGTTCAAAACTGTATTTGTCTGTTGTGTGTCATTGTCACTGTTCTGATCTAAGCAATGGCTATTACCCGAGCAGTGGTCCCACCCTGGTGATAGAATACAGGAAGCTAATGAGTGCCTGGGAGTCATTCTGAAACTTTTCTTACTAACTTTCAATTGTGAGTAAAAACTAAGGCTTCCCAGATTGCATGTTCTGAGGGGCTGGAGAGATGGCTCAGTGGTTAAATGCACTTGTTACTCTTGCAGAGAATGTAAACTTGACTTCCAGCCCCACATGGCTAAAACAACCGCCCATACACAGAAAGAAAAAGGACACTAAAGAAAGGGTAGGGATATGGCTCAGTGGAAGAACACTTTCCTAGCATGTTCAAGGCCTTAGGCCTTAGCACTACAAACAAGCAAAGACTAAGTCTTATTTTCACCACTGTCTCTGTTGGCACTACAGCATTTCTTAGTAGATTCTCATAAATTCAGTTTAGGAGGCTGGATCTCCTTCATTCTCCATTTCTTGGTCAAAATAGATGAATTATAAAAATTTACTAGCTGTCATTTTCCCTTATGATAAAAACACTGACTTCTTGGGTTTTTTTTTGTTTGTTTGTTTTTTCTTTTGGTTTTTCGAGACAGGGTTTCTCTGTGTAGCTTTGGAGCCTATCCTGGCACTCCCTCTGGAGACCAGGCTGGCCTTGAACTCACAGAGATCCACCTGCCTCTGCCTCCCGAGTGCTGGGATTAAAGGCATGTGCCACCAACGCCCGGCCTAAAAACACTGACTTTTTAAGAGTATAAATTTTAACAGATTAATCCTGCCCAGTAGAGCCTTATGTAGAAAACTTTAGAAGTACTTAAAAGATCAAGACAACTATCCTGCTTCAGTCATGGTCAAAAGAACAATCAGTTAAGTGTGTGTGTATGAATGTAATTGCCCCCCATAAGCTCAGAGAGTGGCACTATTAGGAGGTGTGGCCTTGTTAAAGGAAGCATGTCACTGTGGGGGCGGGCTTTGAGGTCTCCTATGCTCAAGCTGCATCTAGTTCAGTTGACTTCCTGTTGCCTACAGAGTAAGAGATAGGACTCTCATCTCCCTCTCCAGCACCACGTGTACCTGCATGCTGCCGTCTCCTGCCATGATGCTAATGGACTAAACCTCTGAATTGTAAGCCACCCCAATTAAATATTTTCCTTTATGAGAGCTGCCAGAGTCATGGTGTTTCTACATCACTAGAAACCCTAAGACAGTATTTTAAATTTTATCAGATATTTCTTTTGAAATAAAAGATCTTTAAGATTTAAGACAACTATCCTGCTTCAGTCATGGTCAAAAGAACAATCAGCTAAGTGTGTGTGGTGGTTTGAATGTAATTGGCCCCCATAAGCTCAAAGAGTGGCACTATTAGGAGGTGTGGCCTTGTTGAAGGAAGCATGTCACTGTGGGGGCGGGCTTTGAGGTCTCCTATGCTCAA